TTTTTAGCGAAAATTGATGGGTTCGGATTTTGACGAAAAGTAGTCCAATCGACAGGGGTGAACCAGGGGACCACAAAACTACTTCTGGTTCCGTCAGAAACCATCCCGTCCACAGAAATTTGGGGTTTAAGGGGTGGTCTTTTGAATCTGGCGCGCGAGCCCGTCCAAGAAAAACAGGCGTAACTCACTTAAAATGGCCCGGTGGCGTGAAATTTCGACGGAGAGATTGAAAGAGGATGCTGTCGTACTAATCCCAACCATTTCCAGCGATTTTTATTTTTGTCATTTTAGGCCAAATTTACAAAGGCCTTTGTGTTTTTAGCGAAAATTGATGGGTCCGGATTTTGACGGAAAAGTAGTCAAATCGACAGAGGAGACCCAGGGGACCACAAAACTTCTTTTGGTTCCGTCAGAAACCACCCCTGTGTACAGAAACATGCGTTTCAAGGGTGGTCTAATCTGGCGGTCAGCGCGTAAGATGGGCTGCCTACCTCGCAGGCGAACCGGTCCAAGAAAAACAGGTGTAACTCACTTGAAATGGACCGGCAGCGTGAAACTTCGACGCAGAGATTGAAAGGAGCAATCCCAACCATTTCCAGCGATTCTCAATTTTTTCAGTTTTGGCAAAATTTACAAAGGCATGGGTCCGGTTTTTGACGGAGGAGTACTCGAATAGATAGGGGTGAACCAGGGACCATAAAACTACCTTTGCTTTTGTCAGAAACCACTCCTGTTCACAGAAACTTGAGTTTTAAAAGCTGGTCTCTCTAACTATGGGCGGGTAGGCTACCTAAGGCGCACTGGCTATGAACTCTACTGTAGTGGGTCGGCACCATGATATTTAAACAGGGCAACTGAAAAGGGAGTTTACCCGACCAATCAAAACCAATTCCAGCAATTTTCCAAATTGTCAAGATTTTTGAAAGACATTTTCAGTGATAACAAATCAGCCTGGATTTTGACAGAGGAGGGTTGAAAGCAACAACAAAGAACCAAGGCACCACAAAAAACATCAAAAACCACCCTTTGATGCACACGAAAGGAAGCTCCTCATAGAGTCTGTACAGAGACAAATTGGACCAGAGTTGGTTCCTGTCATGTCAACTCACCTATTCTTTTGGGTAAAATGACTCCATAGACTTCTCTTGCTCATGTCAAGAACATTTCTGGGCCGAGTTCCTGCAATCATATTAAACGGTACTTTTAGTAACTCATACAATACACGTTTAAATGCCTCTCCCCCCATACGTCTCTAAATGTCCATGGTCTTTCAAATAAGTAATTTGGCCCTGGACTCAAGCATTAAGTACAAAGGGGCAGCTGCAAATTAGCTGCAACGCACAATGATTGATTGTTTGTGGGATTACGCAAATAGTACCACTCGGTTTGCACCCCAACCAGAAAGTAATAAAGTTTTCTGTTCCACGAGAAGAATATACAGTAAAATATATGATATATGATAAAACACTGACAGTGACCTGCAACAGTATTTAACATACTGTATGGAATGGAGAAGTGTACCCATTCAACACCTTTTCAACAAAGCTTACAGTGAGCCAAGTTTACATCACGGGCATCATTTACTCGGCCTCAAAAAAATAACTGACAACTTGTGCACTGGAGCACACTAACCTCTTACATTACAGCAATAACCGGAATGGAACAATTCAATATTCCGGACCGGAAACAATCAAGCACTATACCTTGCGATTATCGAAAAGCGGCGATGTCCACCCTAAAATTCTGATTAAAATCCTATGGCCAATTAAATGAGCAGGTATTATCGGTATTGAGCAGAAGACGCCGACCGTGACACCGAGTTTCAATGTTTGTTTACGTTTCCATAAAGGCGCCGCAAATGCGGGGTGGGGAGGAGGATAGGGGTAGGGGACGCGGCACGGCAAAGGGGGAGAGCAATACGGCAGAAGTTCTGATCAGACAATGACACTCACCGACATATCGTGGTCGCGGGATGTGATTCTTTAGGGCTCCCGACCCATGCAACATGTGGCCGCAGCTCTATGGGGAACCTCAGGGAGTTGTGGCCGAGGACGCCTGGGGTAGGCAATCCCGCCTCGATGCTAGAGACATGCGGACACGCGCTGCAGAACGAAAACCGGTAACATGGGTTCGCCAGCCGACGAGAAAAAAAAAACGGGAGTGGTATTAGAACCTCTGACCACTATCTCAAGCCGTGGCGCAGCGACGATACCAACATCGCCACGCTGCTGGTGTGATACGCAACGGTGGACAGGCGAACCCATGTAACCGGTTTTCCTTCTTGCCTTACGACTGACTGCGGCGCCTCGCACCATGGTTCCCTGTCCGCTATCCCCAACATCGTGGCGTCGTAGCCGTGCCGGTAGAGCGATGGCTTCCTGAGTCGCAGGAGCGAGGTTCGAATCTTCGCTGGGCTGGAATTTTTTCCGAGGAGAAGAATTCGGAGTGGAATTCAAACCCATGATTCCAACCGAGCTCTTTCGTGGGATGGCCTAAGGTGTAGTGGTTATGATATCCGCTACCCGGGGTGACGAGTGTCGGCACTTGGTTCGGTCCTCACTGGCAGCGAAAAAGCGGGTTGCCAGGAGGTCGGATCATGCGGCGAGCGGT